AAGTCTAACTAGGGAAGGTCCATATAAGACCTGGTGCTGGGGAATGAGGCCAACCGGCTAATCAAAGTTTCAGTGGGGGAGTATTTCAGGAGCAGTGGCCCATAATTCACAGATTTTAAGTTACTTACTGATAAAGAGTAGTCCTTGGCTGAAAGTACTAAAGGAGGCGGGGGGGTGGGTATGTGAAGGAGGTAAGTGTACTGGGGGAGGAGGAAGTAGGTTAAATACAACATTATTATTAGGCAGGAACTGGGGAATGTAGATTGGGGGCAGCTGAGGGTAAATTCACATCTGGCACATTGCAATCTTTTAAAGGCCGGTTGATTAGCTTTCAGGACCAACATGTTCCTGTGAAAATGAAGGATAAGGCTGGCAAGAAATTGTGACCTTAGTCAAGAAGTAAAATAAGGCATATGTAAGGAAGAGAAAACTGAAGACAGACCAAGCCCTCGAAGAATATAAAGATAGTGGGAAGGAATTCAAGCAAAGAATTAGAGGGTTAAAACGGGGCCATGAAATGTCTGTCAAACAGGATGAAGCAAAATTCCAAGATTCTTTATACATATAAAAGGAGCAAGAGGGTATCTAGGGAAAGGATAGGTCTACTCAAGGAAAAAAGAAGTTTATGCATGGAGCCAGAGGAAGTGGGTGAGGTCCTTAATGAATACTTTGCATCGGTATTCACAAAGGAGGACAGGGTGCGTGGTGAGTCACAGAAAGGATATGTTGATATCCTGGTATACGTCAATATTAAAAAGGTGGCGTTGACTGTTTCAAAAATCATTAACTCAGACCAATCCCCAGAATCTGATGGGATCTATTCCACAATGGCAAGGGAGGCAGGTAAGGAAATTGCTGATGCTTTGCATGAAATCTTTGCATCCTCTTTAGTCACAGGAGTCGTCTCAGGACTGGAAAATATCTTTAAGGAGGACCCAGGAAATTACAGATGAGTGAGCCTTACACCAGCAGTATGGAGGTTAGGTATTGGAGAAGATTCTTACAGATATGAGTAAATCCTATGAACTTAGTGATACAAAGCAATAACTTTGTACAGGTAAGGTCAAGTCTCACAAACCTAATGAGTTTTTTGATGAAGTGACAATAGATGTTGCCTACACAGACTTTAGCAAGGCTTATGACAAGGTCCTCTCATCGCAGGCGGATTCAAAAGGTGAAGTCACATGGGCTCCACAGTGAGCTGGTCAGATAGGTACAGAACTCACTTAGTCATAAAAGACAATAAAGCAGTGTTCCAAAAGAACTGGTGCCAGGACCCCTACTGTTTGTAATACATAGAAGTGATTGAGAATGTAGGCAGCATGATTTGCGAGTTTGCAAACAAAAAGATTTTGGGAGCTGCAGCTAGTGAGGAGGATTGCCAGAGGATACAGCAGGCTACAGATAAACTGGAGATTTAGGCAGAAATATGGTAAGATGTAGTTTAATCCAAATGCGAAGTGATGCATTGTGGAAGATGCATCTTGTGGAATGCAGGAGGAACATATATGGTAAGCTGCACAACCCTTACTAGCAGAGGGATTTAAAGCATACAGGTTCCCTGAAATTGGCAACACAAGGTGGTTGAGAAATATGGCATGCTTACCTTCATCAGTTGGGCACAGTACAAAATTAGCAAGTCTTATTACAGCTGTACAGAACTTTATAGACCAAATTTGGAATATTGTGGACACCTCTGGTCACCATACTACAATGCAGATATGGAGGATTAAAAACTGTTTACCAGGATGGTGCCCAGTTTGTGGGGTATTAGCTAGAAGATTGGACAAACTTGCTTTGTTTTCAGAAACAAAAAAAGTTGTTGGAAAAGCTCAGCAGGTCTGGCAGCAACTGTGAAACCAGAGTTAATGTTTCGGGTCCAGTGACCCTTCCTCAGAACTGATGGTAGCTAGGAAAACATTGGCTTATGCAGAAAATAGGGGAAATGGTCAGGAGTAAACAATAGATAGGGATACAGCCCAAAGAGAGATGATCAGCTGAACAAAAGTGGGTCATGATCTGGCTGGAAGGCTGATTAGCTGTTAATAGAGATGGTTAGTGGCTAACAATAGGTAGTTTGTAATGGCAAACTATGTGACAAGGCCTGGTGCGTGGCATCAGGAGCTGGGTCATGGGAGTGCTCAGGCCTTAAAATTGTTGAAGTCTACATGGAGTCCAGAGGACTGCAGGGTCCAAGTGGAAAATGAGGTGTTATTCTTCCAGCTTGTGCTGAGCTTTGCTGAAGACTACTGCAAGCCTGAGAGAGATGTTGGTCAGGGAACAGGGTGGCGTGTTAAAGTGGCTTGCTGCAGTGTTCCAGCAAAGGTCAGTACAAGCTGATTTTAGAGCCTGAATACTCCCACATCCTAGCCCCCTATCCCACACACCAGGCCTTGTCACAGCCTGCCATTACACACTACCTATTATTAGCCACTAACAGTCTGTTAACAGCTGTTCAGCCTCCTAGCCAGATTATCCAATCCTTTGTCTGTCCACCTGTTCTCTTTGGGCTCTATCCCTATGTATCATTAATCCTGGCCCCCTTATCCCACCCTGTCTTTGCAATAAACCAACATTTTCCTAGCTACCATCAGGTCGGAGGGTCACCAGACCCAAAACATTAACACCGATTTCTCTTCGCATATGCTGCAAGACCTGCTGAGCTTTTCCAGCAACTTCTGTTTTTGTTTCTGGATTTACATCTGCAGTTCTTTTGGTTTTTTTTCCCACTTGAACAAAGAATAAGGGATGACCTGACAGAGGTATATGAGAGACATGCATAGAATGGTCAGTCTTTTTTCCCCAACCAAGGGAGGAAATATTAATTACTAGGGGAAAGATTTAAGGTAAAAGGAGTAAGTGTTCTTTTTAAAGAAGCAGAAGGTGGAGTGTGCCTGGAATGCACAGCCAGAGATGGTAGACACAGATGCAATGGCAACATTGAAGAGGCACATTGACAGATACAGGAATAGGCAAGGAACAGACTGATATGGACTAGAGGCAAAAGGTTAAGTTTAGAAAGGTATATGTCAGTGCAGTCTTGGTGGGCCAAAGGGACTTTTCCTTTCCTGCACTGTTCTTGGTTCTATTGCACATCCTTTAACAATGCAAATTGATAATCAAATCAGTATGTTAGTTTTCTACTTGTAAGCAGTTAAAGAGGGAGAAGTGGATATTTGGTCACATTAGGATCAGAGTGTTTAAGTTGATGAGTGCCTTCCTGTACTCCTGACAGGCCAATTTGAAATACTGCTGGGAAACCTCAGGTCTAGCAGCATTTGAGGACAAATCAGACTTAACATTTTAGGTGCAGTGACAGTTCTTGTTTTTAATTTAGTAGCTAGGAAAAGATGGCATATATGCCAAGATTGTGTGTGCGTGGGAAGAGGCAGAAGAATGAGTAAAACTTTGGACGGAGATGAAGCCATGACAGAACAGTTGAACAAAAATAGCTAGAGGTCAGCCTGGGGGCCAATTTGGTAATTGAGAGAATGATCTGGTTAAGTTATTGCAGTAGAAGAACATCTGTCACTGTTCAAACAAATAATATCAGGAAATCTTAAACCTTTCATTCATTTGGTCATTATCAACCAACCTAATTTGACTCAGATGGAACAAAAAACCCAAAAGAACTGCAGATGCTAGAAATCAGAAACAAACAAGTTGCCAGAAAATTTCTGGGTTCTGGAGGGGGGTCACTGGACCCAAAACATTAAGTGATTTCTCTCTACAGATGCTGTCAGGCCTGCTGCATTTTCCAGTTTCTGTTTTTGTTTCACTCCGATTGGAGTTTTCACAGTAGGCTACCAATATTTGGGTCTCAGAGCTACATATATCTATATAAGCATCCTTCACAGCAGCTGAATTCCCCAATGTTTCAAGTTATCTGGAATGTATTTCATTTCCCAAGAATGCAGAGAGAAAAAAATTTGTTCATTTCACTCTCCAATCTCCATCCCTTGTTAGGATTCATATACTAGCAGAATAAAATTTCAGTAGTTTTTAAATTTGCTCATTCTGAAGTGCTCTATTCTCTTTCACTTGCTGAATGCAACCAATGCATTTCCAAGATACTCTTCAGTCCTGGTATGAAACCCATTCTGTAGCTGCAAAGCTTATTCTTCCTGGCAACTATCTAATGGTAACCAGATAGCCGTAGGCTTGGGTGACAGACCCCACCACACTAGATCACAGCTACAATTCATCTTGTTCAAGCTCTTGATAATCCTCAATTCCTTGATAGTTCAAAAAAGTTTCAATACCTCAACTAGTTTCTGCAACGCTGGGTATGGAACTTCAGGCATTCACTGGCAGAAATTCTTTCACATCTGTTTTAAACATGTGTCCCCTTGTTCAGTAATTATGTCCCCTAGTTTGACATTCTCCATGCTAGTAGCAACATTCTCAAATTTTTCATTCAACTCATAACAAGTAGAGACTGGATAAAGACTACCCACGCTTATGGAGAGGTGGAATGAAATGACAAGGTCACTGGACTAGTAACCCAGAGGCATAGACCAAAGACCTGGGACAGGGCTCAAATCCTGCCAGGTCAGAAAATGAATTCAATCAAAATCTACAATTAAAAAGCTGGTTACATGGTCACTATTCGACTACTGTCAATTATTGTAAATACCCTTCTTGGATGTCCTTTATGGAAGCAAATCTGCAAATCAACTACACTCCAAACTGGCATGGCAAGCCTATCAAGTTCAACAAATTAGGGATGGACAATAAATACTGGTTTAGCCAGTGGCTGTCACATTCCATAAATTGACATTTCAGAGCACCCTTGTAAGCAGATTTTCCTCCTAGCATGGGAGGTTTTGAATCAAGATGCACGCACTTGGACTGAGCAGTGCAGCAGGCTTGGTGGGTTTCCACTGTTTTAAATGTCTCTCATTTTATATTCAGCAAGAATCATTTGCAACACAAATGTGAGAACTCAGCCATGGCATCAATTTAGAGCATTTGTTTGGAAAAAAACTTGACACAGCTGGTGAAACTTTTGGGAGCTAGCTTTTATTGATATCCACAAAATGTGCAATTAAACTGCATTTCTCCTATATTCACAAAAGCATGTTGTACTAAGTGAAACATCTGGTCTAATCTCAAACTTCAACAGATTGAACTTAAAAAGAATAGTACAGTATCTGAATAATGCACATCTAATTTAGCCAAGGCCATACCTAAATAATACCAGGGTTCATTACTGGGCAGTTTATTTTACTGTAGATCTCAACCACAAGTATAAATAAAGGGTTATGAAGGTATGATGCACTTAGTACAACATACTACACTGACTGAAACATTTTTAATAGTCTTACATCAGGAAGTCAAAGTTCAGTACAGAGCAACGTGATAAGGAGTGAACATGTTATGACCAAGAACGCTGCATTCTTTTAGTTGCTGAAGTGGAGCTGCTCAAAGGGTTAGCAGCCGCTCTGCAGTACATAAAGCGACAGCTGCCTAAAGGGAGGTGGTGGTACTGCAGTGGACGAAGGTGTTCCTATCCATTCAGGGCACTTGCAGCACACGCATGGTGTTGGTGGAACCAGATCCTGGGCGCCAGCCTGTCAGCACTATCACCAGGTCACATGACTTAAAGAAACCACGAGCCTTGCCTGCAAGTATAAAACAATAATTCAGTTATGCAAAATAAAATCGAAGTGATGAAACCCATTCCCAAAGGTTCATGCAGCCCATTGAGGATTCACATAGAACATAAGAACTAGGAGCAGGAGGCGGCCGTCTGGCCCTTCGAGCCTGCTCCACCATTCAATAAGATCATGGCTGATCCTTTCGTGGACTCAGATCCACTTACCCGCGTTCTCACCGTATCCCTCAATTCCTTTATTGTTCAAAAAAATCTACCTTTTTTAAAAAAAATTTACTGAAGTAGCGTCAACTACTTCACTGGGCAAGGAATTCCATAGATTAACAACCCTCTGGGTGACGAAATTCCTTCTCAGTTCAGTCCTAAATCTGCTCCCTGTAATCTTGAGGCTATGCCCTCTTGTCCTAGCTTCACCTGCCAGTGGAAACATCCTCTCTACTTCTATCTTATCTATTCCCTTCATAATTTTATATGTTTCTGTAAGATCCCCCCTCAATCTTCTGAATTCCAATGAATATAATCCCAATCTACTCAGTCTCTCCTCATAAGCCAACCCCCTCAACTCCGGAATCAACCTAGTGAACCTCCTTTGCATCCCCTCCAGTGCCAGTACATCCTTTCTCAAGTAAGGAGACCAAAACTGCACACAGTACTCCAGGTGTGGCCTCACCAGCACCTTGTACAGCCGCAACATAACCTCTCTGCTTTTTATTTCAATCCCTTTAGCAATGAAGGGCAAAATTCCATTTGCCTTCCTAATTACTTGTTGTACCTGCAGACCTACCTTCTGTGATTCATGCACATTTCAGCCAAATCATTAAACACTCCACTGCTGAAAGACCTGCTCAAGTATTTGAGTACACTGTTCTTAAGGAAATAGTTGTACAACTGTGTTCAACTTACCAACTTCCATGGCAAAATTCACCCTGTGATCAACATCATCAGACCATACTGCATCAGCTGGTGGTTTGAAGAGGACAGGGAAGATACCACGGTAAAGATGAGCCTGACGTGCAGTCTGAGGTTCACGAGTTACAGCAATGATTGGAGCACGTGGGCGGTATCTGGATACCAGGTGTGCAGACCTAAACACAAACAACACTGTTGGTAGATGGAATTCATAGGGTAAACAGTTATGTTTTGTAGTAGCAAAACTTTCCAAATCAACTCCACGGCTAAGGCCTCAGAAGCTGGCTAAAGTCATGAGTTGCAATTTGATCAGACTCTGGGCTATCAAGCTTAGCCATTTGATGGTCTCTAGGTCCAAAGATTAATGTGGATTTTCACTCAACCCTCTCAAGGCATTGAGAACTCATGTTAATAGCCCCCAGCTCCTCACCAGGTTTTTATTGAAGAGAGAGCCTGGACAGAGCATTAGCTGACTAGTCAACACAATTATATGTCAAAGTCAGTCTCAGGTTGACCCAACATCAGTGCAGAACCAGAAATGACAATTTCCTTCTATGCTGCAGAGCATAAAAACAGATCCCTTAAACTTTTATATCTGAATCAAACAGAATCTCAACTGTAAAGCTGGCTCAGCAAAAAAAGTACAGTAGCTAAATCATCTGCTCTGCAGGGGCTTGCAAGTTATTTCCCTAGTCAAATCGCAAATGCACACTTTGCCTCACTGTTCATTGGCAGCTCATGTTTAGCATGAACCACACAATTAGAAAATCTTACCTTGCAA